TATGTTATGGGCACAAGACCAACGCATGGAAGCATAGAAATGATCTGTTGCTGGAAGGGGTTAAGGTGGAGGTGGAGGGGGTGATTGAGAGAGAGAGAAGTACAGGCCTGTGCTTTTTCAAGAGTTTACAATGATCTAGCAATCTCTCTCTACAGTAATCCTACTGTCTACTTCTTTCTCCAAACAGCTGGAAAGCAACTGGCGGTGTGTGTATCTACGTGGGTGTGACAGTTTGGTCTAGCTGAAGGTCAGTGTAATTTATTTACGCAGTACAGGAAAAAATGACTTAGGAAACTGTACAGTGTTGGTATCCAGAATTTCCTAAAAACATCTTGTTAACAAGGAATGTTAACGTATAAAGGTAGCTGGAGTTCAACAAAGATTCCATATTGAAATGCAAAAGGTCCTACAGGGATACTGACCCACACCTGGCATCACTGACCTTGTGGGAATGTAGGCTCTGTGACTAAATCACATTGGTAGTCAAATTAAGTAAAATCAGTAAGTTTGTTCAGATTTGAAGGTCTACACGTGACAGGCTTGACCCATTATGGCTATTTCTGGCCTCATATAGGGCTTTGAAATGTATCCTCTCCAAATACAGTCAAAAATCCTGCAGGTTATTCCTATAATGTTACCATCATTAGAACATGTACCTCAGATAAGGCATGTATGATAAAAAAATGGCTGCTATATTTGAATTTCACCACCAAAGTCTAGAAAACTTTTGACATCTTCAATCCTTTTGGTTTGCTAATTAGGTCTATTACTGACTACTTACTGCTAACTGAATCAAAACATTACATCCCTTTCCAACACTTTATACCAATACTACTGCACTATAATTATTAAACAAACAGGAACATATGACACTTGAAGAAGGAAAGAATTTTTTTTTTCTGCCAGTATTTACAGATTAAAAACAATATTCATTTTCACACATTACTGTGCAGAGGTCAGAGAATACCTCTCATTTTTTAAATTTCCAGCCAAAACTGCATTAAGTACAAAGTATTAATATATTTCTTAGGAAATTAGATATGAGAAAGGGTAAAGACAACTGACATCAAGCGAAAAATAGCAGTTTCCAAAACTAGAGTTTAAAAAAAACACTTAAAAGATATAGAGACAATGAAACTCACCAAAACAGTCCCCATCACGTAAACAGTACTTAAAGCTTTCATCTTTGACAGAGATCTGAAAACATCCACAGGTGTTTCTGTCCATCCTCCCACTGTGAGAAGACAACAACACTATGGATGGATGTGTAGCTGTCAAGAAGCTGCTGGTGTACAACTGACTGACCATCCCAGAGTTCAGACCTCAACATCACTGACCTCAACATATGGATTAGCAGAAAATGCAACCAACTTCTAAGACTGAACTTCAGAGGTGCGGAAAACATCAATGCAGATTTCTTAAAAAATTGAAAGCCTCTCAAAAAGAATGAAAGCTGTAATAAAGGCAAAGGATGGACACACTACATACTGAAAAATAATATTATATTGAGTTGCTGAGGCTTCTATGTAAATTTGACTGGCATTTAAATTAACAAAGAATGGTCTCTGACTTTTGCACAGTTCTGTACTTCTCCACCAATTTCAGACCACAGGGAAGTCTGCGAAGGTTGTACAAGGTCAGTGCTGTTTCAGCATACATGGGTTCTTTCCCCCATGGTGATTTCTGTATGGACGCACTTACTCGTTAAGAAGTGTCCAAAAGCTTGGTGGGTATTTTGTCTGCTGTGTGTTGCTTGAATTAATAAATTCCATCAAATTTAGTGCACTTCCCAAAAGTACAGCTAAACATGTTCCTAACCTTATAGCTTAACAAGACAGACTGACATGTAGAAACTGTTCTTGTAGCTGGTTGTTTAAGTTGAATGTACAGTGCATCCAACAGTACAACACACACTAAGACCTTCCTCTGGCCAAGCTCAAAGCTTACATAAAGCAAAAATAGGGCGCTGGACATCAGTTCTAAAGCAGTACCTGTGGCTTCCCCACAGTCTTCACTGACTTAGTGCTCCAGATTTGCTCTTCTGTTCTACTCACAGTCCGTCATAACAGTTGAAGACCTATAGATGTACTCCTTCTGCGGAGCAGTGCTGTCCCTGGGCGGATGAACAGTATGGTGCTTTCTGGGCAGCATGCCATTTCCCAACATACCCTAACTGTTCTGCTCTCTTATCTTTCTCCTGTTACCGGAGGTTCACCACCTCATCACTACCCTGCTTTCTCCACAGCACACACATCACTGTTCACTTTTTCCACCGCGTATGCTGAACCCAGCACAATGTATCATTTGTTGGGTTTATATTGATATTGTTCTTTGAACTATTCTATTTTAAAAGGCTGTACTAAGCAAATTAACCCAGTTTTTATTACGTGGTATGTTGACCAACCTCAGATGTTCCAGATGAGTTTCTGAAGATGTCTGGATAAATGGAGACATTTATGTGCTCCAGAAATCATAAAAAATTCTGGTCAAAATAATGCAGGCCAATCTTTAACGATGTCCATCTTTAACCATTTCAAGTCAAATCCAGCGTGTTTTTATTATTAGATTATCTCACATTTGCAATATATTCAGAAGTTTGCCCATATCAGGCAGCCCTACTCCAACTCTTGCCTTTCTGTGACGCCAAAGGTAGGTGCAAGCATTTGGAATTAAGTGTTTGCAAATATTTAAATGGAGAACGAGGCTGTCAAGATAAAATAAAGTTTACAGAAGTCTGTTTACTGTAATAGATCCTCGTTTGGAATTACAAGAGGTTTGGCCAGTCGAATGAATTGAATAAGCATGTTCGTCATACAGTTTAAAAACTTGGCTATAGAAATACAAATCTTCACCAGTTTACAGGATTTATATACACTAGAACACACAGGCCAATAATCAAATGCTCCAAGTAACAAAAACATTCATCATTTGTTTAAATAGAAACACTTAAGAGAGATGTGAGGGATGGGCGCTGTCAGCATCACCTAATTATCCTCACGAGTGAATCACAAGAACCATTTTATACAGAGTTAGATGAGATCCAACTTAACTATGGAGAACCTAGACTGGATACACACATCAGTTTGTACCATTTAACCCTAGTAAATCATATACTTTATACTCCAATAACTGCATTTTCACTCATACAAAGTTGGATTAGTGGAACTCTGTTGAGGTTAACTGAATATGCCTGCTGTGTAACATTCTCAGAAGAAGACTAGCTACTTGTTTCATGTGAGTGAAGCTGTTAGATTATCCTCTATGTAGTATATTTGTGAAGAATCTACTTTTTCCTCCAGTTTAGTCAACCCAGTCATTTAGTGACAAACTTCTTTTTTGAGTTTTATTTCATTCCCGTTCTGTTGGCTCCTGAACTGCTCTGTCATTCCTCTCACCTCCAAGCGTCACCATTTTATTTGGGACTAAAGGGGCTCAAGAAAGTGAAGTATAGAACCTAACAAACTGCAGTTCAGTTAAGATACCTACTTCTATTCATGTAGGGTTTTCACAGCTACTTCTTTTCATCGCACTCTTAAAAAAGACAGTTCTTTAAGAGTTCTTTAGTAAAGACAATGGATCTATACGGAACTATGAAGCCCTTTGCATGCTTAAATGGTTCTCAGCATGGTGAAAATGTTCTTCAAATTGATGGAGAATGTGTGTATATAGTTCTGTATCTATATGTCTATGGTTCTATATATGGTTCTGTATCTATAACCTTTTTGAAACTGGTTCTATGTAGCACAAAAAGGGTTCTGCTGTTGTTACAACGTCAAGCTTGTAATAACAGAAGAACAGTTTTTGGTGCTGTATAGGACCATTTTCAAAAAGAATCTATATAGAATTCATTGATCTACATAGAACCATTGCCTTTACTGAAGAACCCTTGAAGAACCATCTGTAAGTGAGTAACTACCCACCTCTGGTTTTAGGTAGCAACTTCTGTGTAAATGTTAATGTTCTCAGAAAAAAAGATTAGATCCATTTGTTTCATGTAACTGAGGGTGTTATCTGAACTATTAGGTCCATTATAAACCCATTAAGTACAATTTTAAAAACAGAGGTCCAGAACAGTAAAACACGAGGAGATACTCACTGCTCAGTGCTGAAACAAAAGGACAATGAGACACGATTACGTGTAATGACTAAACCTGTAAACACAATGATAGCAATCAAATCCACACGAGTGGACGAGCGCAGAAGTCAAAGACGCCGCTGAGACGTGATTGGACGTAAAAGACAAAAAGACAGATGTGCTCAAACAGATGCAGGAGGAGTTACTGAAACGCCTCAACCCGCCAAACTCTGCCCTCAGCCGTGTCCAGTGCTGCTGAGGGGCCGTTACACCACCACGGCGGGTCGGTTGTGTTCTATTAGAACCTCACTCACTCAACGAGAAGTGAACTGAACCACAAAACAGCAAACAGAGCTATTTATCGTGCTAAACCACGGTTTACTAATCCTATCAGACTTACCGTTTGGTGAGAAACAGTACGAAGCTTAAGTCAGCTTCTTATTTGAATTGTCCCGTTCCACCTTAAATGGCGCAGCAGCAACATTCGGGCCCCATGATGCGCCAAAATGTAACTGCTGCACCATTTAAGGTGGAACGGGAAAATTCGAACAAGAAGCTGGGGAATAGGAAGCCAACTTCAGCCTCGCAGGAATAGCTTAAATTATCCTGACGACTAGCCAAGTACTGAGCCAACAGCTTAATGAACACAATTAGACATTCTGCTGCCAAAATATGAAAATGTTTTGAAGATTTCATACGTTTGAATTGGTGGAAGAGATGGCTATTTAAATAACAGGACAAATGGGCAAACCCTTTCCTTTCCTCGGGAAGAGGAGGAGGAGGAGGAAAACACAACAGTAGCCGCTAACAGTCCGACATCAGCACATACGGTAACACTTTCTTTCTCTCAGCGGTTTTTGACTTCCAAATATAGTCGCCGAGGTCGTGTTGAAAAGCAGCGGAGCTGAGCTGAGAGGAGACCTACCTGCTCTTTTCTTGCACAGTTTGTTAGCCGAACCAGACTAGGAGTCCAGACTGCCTCACGTCCTCGCTTCAAAGCAACGGTTTTAATCCAGACTCCTCGGAGTGAGGCTCCTTCAGGAGGGCTCTGAACTCAACCTGAGAGCCCGGTTAGTCAGTCCGGAGGCACTTTTACAGCTTTTACAGCAGGACTCAGTGACTCAGGAGGTCCCTTTCACTGTAGTATCCGCTCACTTCTCCAGTCTTTCTTATTAAAAGTGACTCTGTTGTGCCCTGAGTGACACCACACTTCCACACTCCTCGTATTCGTGGAGGGGTGCAGCGTAGCCGTGGCTGGAGTCGGGTCAACACGAGTGTGCCGTTTGGTGGCCAGAGTGGTGGGAGGAGTTGGCCAATCACTGACGAGTTCACTCTCCTCTGTCCAATCAGAAGTGAGCACCGCTGTAAACACAAACCCCGCCAGCCTCGCTTTACACTCCAAAAACTGTTGGATGGCTAGTTTGTGTTAGTACAGCTTCAGTTTACGTCCCGCTATTGCGTCTCCAAAAGCAGCACGTTTATATAAAAGTGATAATTGATATGACTAAAAACCGAATTAGCCTGACAACAGTTCTTTTCTTCGACTAAAGCCTTTTTTCTGGGTAACTCAGGCAGCAGTGGCACCTCATTTACAGATTTATTGCCTGCTTTTAGAAAAACAGAATGGCGAGGCCTGCTTCATTAGCTAAGATGGAGAGCACAGCTGAGGAAAACAGCGTGTATTCCATGCTGGTCTAAGCTGGTTATGCTGGTCTAGTGCTGGTCTGTTGAACTTCAATTGCTGCTGACCAGCATACCGGCATCCAAAGCATAATATTGCTGGTGACCAGCCATGCTGGTCTGTGCTGTTTTTTTCTAGCAGGGAGTATGGAGATGCAGTTTGTAGAGCAGTCCCCAAGCTTTCTCACACCATTCTTGAACAGGACTGAAAAGTACAGAGAACCAATGCTTAAGGATAATTCCAATGATTTTTCAAAAAAATCTGTACAATTTAATGGTTGTGATGTAAACAAATCATTCAAAGTGGTTTGAACCTACAACGTTTTTTTTTCTGGGTTTTTTTTATTTGTAATGTCGATAATGGTGAAATATAGCTAAGTTTTCTTTGAGGACTATTTTGCCCTACACGGTCTGCATGTACCTCTTTTCCATGAAATGGATTTAAAAAATAAATTTTAGGCAAAAATCCTCTCAAATCTACTGAACAGTATCTCAGGAAATCAGGCAGTGTATTTGCAACCTCTTTGTGTAACAACTTTCTGTGATGTAACCTTTACAGATAGAAAATGATTTGTATGGTTCCTTCCACCACCACAGTGGAGAAAGTGAAAAAAATCCAAATCTTACTCAATATGGAGCTAAAAATATACTTGAGAAAACGTCAAAATGTATTTACATTTAATCATACATATAATCCAAGTATGAAAAGATGAAAAAGTAAATGTTTTAATGCAGTTTGAAAGTCAGAAATGTTTGAATTGCATTAAGGACTTTCTTTTTTAGTGATGTGTGATGCAATGATGTGTGATGTGGTAACTAAATGTGGTACACAAACAAAGTAGCATAGTTGTGAGCAGTTTCATTGTACATTGATATGAATTTGGTTGGATGTTTCAGTACAAAAAACAAAATTAAAATGTGCCGGAACATTACTGATTGCCAAGAGAAAAACACCAAAAAGAAAAACCCAGAAAAAAATGTGATTTGTTATGACTACTATGAAGGTCTAAATGAAATTGTAAGGAATAAAATGATTTTTCTTCAGAAATGTAATTAAAAGTACAAGCATTCATTTTCAATAATACTATAGTAAAGTACAAATCTTCCAAATTCCAAAACAGTACTTACTCAAGTATAGCTTGATCAGTTAAGTATTTCCACCTCTACTAATATTTACTGAAAACAAAAAATGCATTTCCGTTTGTCATAATCACAGCTTTTGCTCTGTCCATCATCAAGTCCAGAAGTTTCTGCACAATTTGTACATAAAATGTAAATAAAAACAAAATGCAATGATGTGCAAATCATTTAAACCCTATATTTAATTGAAAATGGTACAAAGACAACCTATCAAATGTTGAAACTAAGAATTTTTGCTGTTTTTTGAAAAATATAAGCCCATTTTGAATTTGATGCTAACAGCACATTTCAAAAAAGTTGGGACGGTGTCAACAACAGGCTGGTAAAGTTGTGCAATGCTAAAAAAAACACCTTCTGGTTGCTCCGTGATGTTATACATTTTCTTAAATTGGAGAAGATTAGATTCACGATAAAAGATAACACTGCTGCTTTTTATGCTAAATGGAATTCTTTTCTTTTGAATTTTGAAGCACTCAAAGTTATGCCGGCAGATTTTTTTATTATTATTTTTTTTATTTTCCTTCTTTTCCCTTCAAAGATAAGGTTGTTTTTATTGTTGTATTGTTTGGAAAGTCTTGGTGTGTCGGTGTGTGTATGAGTGTGTGTGTGGTGTTGTAGGGTATATGTAATTATAAAAAACTGAGGTTGCCAGTGAATTGAGCAATTGGAGGCTATTCATTGTTTTGTCTACTGTTTATCATCCTGTTTTTCTCCACTCGTTTGATGTATCTGTTTTGTTCCTCTAATACAAAAGAGAGAGAGAGAGAAAAAACCTGGTGGTTATTGGCAACAGGTCAGTAACATGATTGGGTATAAAAAGAGCATACCAGAGAGGCTGAGTCTTTCAGAGGTAAAGATGGGGAGGGGTTCACCATTCTGTGAAAGACTGTGTGGGCAAATAGTGCAGCAGTTCAAGAATAACGTTTCTCAACATAAAATAGCAAAGAACTTGGGGATTTCATCATCTACAGTACATAATATCATTAAAAGATTCAGAGAATTTGGAGAAATCTCTGTATGTAAGGGGGAAAAGGCAGAAAACTAGTATTTGCTGGCTCTGATCTTTGGGCCCTCAGGCAGCACTGCATTAAAAAAAGGCATGATTCTGTAGAGGATATCACAGCATGGGTTCAGGAGCACTTCTAAAAAAACACTGTCTGTGAAAACGGTTCGTTGCTGCATCCACAAATGCAAGTTAAAACTCTAAAACACAAAGAAGAAACGATATATAAGCAGAATCCAGAAATGCTGCCGCCTTCTCTGGGCCCAAGCTCATTTAAAATGGACTGAGGGGAAGTGGAGAAGTGTTCTGTGGTCCGACAAATCAAAATTTGAAATTCTTTTTGGAAATCATGGACACTTTGTCCTCCAGGCTAAAGACGATTCAGCTTGTTATCAGTGCACTGTTGAAAAGCCATTATTCATGATGGTATAGGGGAGCGTTAATGCCCATGGCATGGGTGACATACACATCTGTGAAGGCACTGTCAATACTGAATGATATATACATGTTTTGGCAACATATGTTGCCATCCAGACAACATCTTTTTCAGGGAAGGCCTTGTTTATTTCAGCAAGACGATGCCAAACCATGTTCTGCCTGTATTACAACAGCATGGCTCTGTAGTAAAACAGTCCTGGTGCTAAACTGACCTGACTGCCGTCCAGACCTGTCACCCACTGAAAACATTTGGTGCATTATAAAATGAAAAATACGACAAAGGCGACCCTGAATTGTTGAGCAGCATATGTCCTATCCTAGAATAAGAACAAGAATGGGAAAACATTTCACTTTCAAAACTACAGCAGTTGGTCTCCTCAGTTCCCAAACGCTTACAGAGTGTTGTCAAACGATGAAACGCAGTGGTAAACATGCCCCCGTCCCAACTTTTTTGGAATGTGTTGCTGCCATCAAATTCAAAATGGGCATATATTTGTCAAAAAACATTAATTTTTTCTCGTTTCAACATTTGATATGTTGTCTTTGTGGTATTTTCCTTAAAAAATATGGTTTACATAATTTGAATATCATTGCATTCTATTTTTATTTACATTCTTCACAGCGTCCCAACTTTTTTGGAAATAGGGTTGTATAATAACAAGCTGAATTGAATTGAATTCAAATGTTCGCAAATATGATCAATGCATTTGAGGTCTGATGAACATCTTTTTTAAAAAAAGTTTCCAGTAGTGGACTGAGACTTTTCGACTTTTGGGGAAACCGACAGGAAGACATCTAGATACTGGACCTCAGTGGTCAGCAACATTAAAATACGATTGAGGCTCTACTCACTCAGTTTTTGAGCTCTTAAAGCATCTAAAAGAAATGTGTAATAAAGTGGATACAAATCAAATCGCTTTGAAGTCACAGGCTTTAATTGTGATGCAGAATACAGTTCTTGACATGCTTTTCCGTAGTACAGATTAAACATTGGTAAAGCATTCTTTTGGCAGTCCCCACTATTTAGATCTGTCTGGGCATGATGAAGCTCACTGGTAGATACATTCAAAAACATCTTCAGATATTCCTATTCAGGCAAAACATTAACATTTGTCAAATTAGTTCTACCTATGGAATGACTGGAAGTTAATGGTTTTTGAGCAGATGGTACTGCAAGACCTAAGACAGTCATTAAGTCAGTGACCTCAGGCATAACTAGGCTTGCTATTATCGCCTTCACAAATGTCTCTACATAACTTGCAATTAAGATATGTATGTGTTGTAAGTGTCCTTATGAAGGGACTTCATAAGAAGTGTTACTATTTCAGTCATTTATGTAATTTCTAACATTGCTAGTGCCATGATTATCCAACATTTCTTCTGAAACCAAGAGCATTATTAGACAGTTTGTTGTACTAACAGCCTCTACTCTTCTGGGAAGGCTTTACACTAGATGTTGGACATTGCTGTGAGGATTTGATTGCATTCAGCCACGAGAGCACTAGTCTAGTCAGGTACTGATGTATTCAACGGTTCTCCATTGCTCCAGAGAGCAAAGTTCCACAGCTGCACAGTCCAGTGCCCCTGTAGTCAATGCTTGGTACTGGGCATTGGTGACCTTAGGTTCATGTGCGGCTGCTTCAGAGTCCCATTCTATTCGCAGTGCTTTTCTATGGAGATTATACAAGCTATTTGTGTGCACAGTTGAACGTAGGTGCACCTTAAAAGTGGCTGAATTCACTAATTAGAAAAGGTGTCTGGATACTTTTGGACATAGTGTCCAAAATTATGCACACATCACCCAACAGTACACAAATTGAGACGCACAGCCATGAGCCCAGATGGTTTTGTATATATTAGAGTTTTTAGCTGTTTTTTCCAATTAAACATCCATTTATTTGCATAAAGAAAAATATAAAATTACAGTACAAAAAGGAATTGTCAGTCATTCAGTGGGCTTTCTTAGACAAGGTACACTGTGTGTGTGTGTGTGTGTGT